TGTTAAGAATGTGGGGTTGTTATTTTTGGTATTGATTACGACTGTATATGACTTCAGAAATAGTAATGAAAATACTGGATGAAGTTTTCATTATCATCTCAATGCAGTTGTTAAACTGGAGTATAAAAATAATTTGGGAATCAGACTGATCTGAAGTACAAGGGGTTTTCTGGGTGATTACCTGCGAAAGAACAACTAAAATTTCAAACTGTGTTTAGTTGACTGGACAGATAAAAAATGGTAAAATCCCTATTTGATCCTAAACAGACACTTTTTGGGGGTAGATGGTTAGTGAAATAATTGCTAAATTAACTGGGTGGTGGGGGAATGTGTTTAAACCCACTTCTTTTAAAGTCCTGGTTATCTTCTGGATACTGCTATGTGCTTTTCTTTTTTTAAAAAAAAAATCTGTATTGCAGTCTGTGCCAAAGAATGGCCTAGACAAGTACGTGGAGGGAGATTTTTTTAAATGATTGGCAGTTGCTAGAACATGAAAGAATTGTTGAACCTATTAAAATATTCACCATTGGAAGATGATAAGCAACATCCTGTTTTGGATTTCGGTGCAGGTAGAGGGAGAGTGAATTGAGTAGGACTGAAATAATGAGCAGACAGCAAATGTTGAATGCATAATGCGTAAAGCAGGCTACTTTGACTGGGTACCTTCATAGCTTGCAGCTAAATGTGGTGATGCACATTATTCATAATTTAGAAGTTAGTGGCCTGACGTTCCCTGAAAATGTAAAGTGACTTTTAAAATGTGATTTCACAGAGCTAAATGAAAGGCCAGTTCAAAATGCATTAAGCAGTAAGGATGTGTAGCTGGAAATCAGTGAGCTTCTTTTCACAGCAATAAATTTATAATGTTATTTTGGTGTAACTAAATACCACCTCAGGAGAATAATAGTAATTCCCTGCTGCCAGTATGGCTGGGATTCACCTCATCTAATATGAACCCTGTAACACAGGTGCCTGGGCTCCTTGTCATCAAGTGTAAAAGAGTACAGCTGTATTGCTAAGGAAAAGTTTGTTGCCAGTGTGCTCAGATGGCTGTTTTGGGGTAGGAAGAATTGCCCTCTGGAGCTGCAGTATTTCTTCACGGATTATACAAGAATCTGGCTGTGGACAGAAACAGGAGCAGGGGACTGCCGCCCACTGCAGCTGTTTCCCAGCTCCTGGGTGTTGCATGTGACCTTCTCCCAGTTGTGTTCCACCAGTATACCGTACCCTCCTGGTTCCTCTCCCTCGCTGCCTTCCAGTGTGGCGTCTGTGGTAGCGGACATTCTGGAGGTATAGTCTCACCACCAGCCGTCGTTGTGGCAGCTTCCACGTCAACGTCCCACTCGCGTGCCTCGTCCTCCTCCTTTGATCTTCACCTTTGGCTCGGTTCTTTCCCTCCCTGGTGCGGGCTCTCATTCGATGATGCTCAGGAAGAGCAGGAGATCGGTCTCCTGCCTCTCCTTCCCCATGTCCTCCACGTTTGGCCACACTGATGGCCTTCCCTCATTCCAGCGTATGAGGCTTCCGCGATGGTCCTGTAATGGGCCGGTGCTTTCTGACTGCAGCAGGGAAAGGCCCTCCTGTAGCGCAGCCTTTCCCCACCCTCTGTGACCTTACGTGCGTGCGTAGATATTTTGGGGGGCTCGTGGCCCCCCGTGGATCAGACCGGCGCTGGTGTGGTGCAAGGAAAGCGGCCAAATTCTGGCTCGTGGGACGTGGGTGCACCCGCAGTCCTGTGGGATGGGAGCCGATGAAGCTTGCCTAGCGCTTGTCGTCCGAGGCATGGCAGCAGGGCTGTGCTTGGAAAATGCCTTCGAAGTTCTGTGGAAAACTCGTGTTGTCCCGTAGGCCTTGTAACCACGTTCAAGTCAGACGTGACTGTTGGCTACAGATGATGTCATCGGTGCGGCGCACTCGTTCCTGAATGCTTCCTCTGTCAGCTCGTGTTTGCTGTGCCCTGACTGACTGCTGGTTTGCTTCCATACCCAGTGGACTGAGATTTTAATTTATTGTGTTTAAATTTTTTAGTAGGGATGTCATGGAACGGCACTGAATCGACGTCTCTGAGACCTGAGAGTTCTTGCTTGTGTGGATGTTGTACTTCTTCTGGTCCTGCAAGACCAGACTGTCATCAGGCTTTAAATCTCAGCAGATTTTATATGTACAGTGTTTCCCTTGAATAAACCGTCAGATTTTATTTTGAGGTAGACTGATCAAAGCGAAGACGAGTTTAGAATAATAATCTTATTTACCAATACTTGAGTAAGAAGCATTTCATGTTACCAAGGCACGCTCCAGAGAAAACGCCAAGTGACATAAATGCCACAAGACTGCCGTTCCGTTGTCTAAATGCCTGTAAGAGAAAAACTTTATGAGAACACTCAGCAGGTTTTAATCAGATGCTCTTACTCATGGTCTGAGATCAGACAGGCTTGCTCTCCTCAGCTAACCTTGGGCGGTGTGGTAACACAGGTGGGCTCTCTGCCGTCTTTCCTGTTGGTCAAAAATCTCCACGCTTTTTTTCCCTGGCAGGAACGATGAAGTTTGGTCTTTGTCAGACAGGAGTCCATCAGGTACTTTTAGTAAGACGTATACATACATATGCACGGGCATGTTTCCATTTTGCTGGTTGTGCATGAGGATGAAAGCAAATGTCCTCTGCCTCTTGCTGCAAGGGTGGCTGATAAACACGTCCTTCCACTCTCTAGTGGCCCCAGCCAAACTGTGGAGGCCTGAGACTAGTCTGGGAGCAGGAACATTTGCCTGAAGTTTCCAAACCATTTGTAGGTGTATTTTCAGAGCAGTAAACTCATACTGTTAATACGCTCAGTCTAATGTCTTTTAATATTATTCCGTTGCCTCCAATGCAATGCACTTACTGGGAAGCTCTTTCATTAAGAGATGATGTACGTTTGGATGTGCCTACATACAGCGACAGATGGAGCGGAAAATACGGGAAGCTTTTTGTTAAAACTGACACACAAGGTGTGATGGCCGGTGCAGGCTGGGCAGTGGTCATTGGGGATGCTTTCGGTTTAGTGAAGCTGGAGAACATGAAGTGAGTGTATTCAAATATATTTGCACTTCAGACTTATTTTGGGTGGCCTTACATCAGATCAAAAGTGCTCTGGCTAGAAAAATAGATGTCTGTCTTCGTCGCCTTCTCTGTATCCTCTTATTTGGCATTTTGGTGTGAATTACTTTAGTTACTGTGAGGTTGGTTATGACGAATGCTTAAAAAAAATCAGTACTTCTATCTGCAATTGTTCTTGATGTGTTTTCTGACAGTATTCATGAGGCTAATGTTTGCTACAGCTAACGTTAACAAACAGTTAATAAAAGAATCTAAGTGAACATTGCTTCCTGGTGGCATGTGTCTGTTAGAGGCACTGGGAATATGTTGGGCAAAAACCTGCTCAGCAAGTTCCTGGGGAGGTGAGCTTGGCTTTTCCCTTCTGACTTTCAAAACCAGCCAGCGTTGAAGGGTTCGGTCATCGTGTCCTGCATCACCGGGGTGGCAGCGCCGCGGTGGTGGCACGCATATCCTGTGCCTTCCCTAGAAAAACATTGTCCTTTTAATTCCTCTGGTGTAAGCCTTGCTGCTGGGTATTTACTTTTCATGATTCATATTGGACAACGTTAGATAAATCACCTTTGGAAAGAAAGATGCTTTGTAATTTGGCTTGTGGCTGAAAAACAGGTATTACCCTGGGTGGAAAAAACCCGGGGATTTATGTTTTGGTATCCCAGTGAAACAGAGACCAAACTGTGTAGTGACACAGCTGGGAGGTGGACTGAGCAGCTGCCCGCTCGCAAATAACCTGTTGGTACTGGGACTGCCTGGAGATGCCAGGACCTGGGCTCGGGCTCAGGTTTGAGACAGGTCGGCCAGACTGCCCGCCTCTAATGGTTTTCTTTTCTTTGCTCGGTTACTGCTGTTTTATTTTGCTCTAGTAATTATATACTGGGCAGAAAGGGAAAGGGCTCAATCTGTAGGCTGAGTGTAAGGGCACTTGTCTGGGGTGTGATGGGTCTCTTGTAATGGTGGAGTTTGTGCAGTTTAATGGATTATTATTTGCTCTGAAGTGAGTGGAGATCTGTGTTTCGGAGCCTCTTGAGTTAAAATAGGTGCATTTGTCCAAGGAACAAAAATATTTGATTTCAGCGATTGGCCTTTTTATACAGAAACAGTGGGTTTTTTGCTGAAGACTTGCTGGTGAGCTGTAATTTACAGTATTTGCTGCAGGTGTGGATTTAACTGCTGTGCTGAGGAGAAGAATCCTTACAATCAGCAAAGCGGTGGCTCTGGGAGCTAATAATGGGCTAGAACATCTGGTCTTTATTGGGGGAAGACTTTCAGTGTGTGGAAGGAAATGCTTGCACTTGACTCCTCCAAATTACTCAACAACCCAGTTAGGGCAGCACAGATGGACCTTGACCAGCCTCAGTGCCTCACAGCAGGAGGCTCGGGTTAAGCCCATATGAAGTCAGAACCCTGGGCTTGAGCCTGTTGTGTATCAAGCGGCGTCAAACAAACCCTCAGACCCTTATGTTTTGTATGACAGGTCTGTTGGTGAACGTTTTGGTTTCAGTATGTTGTACACGGATGTACATAGCCCCACCTGACGTGGCTTGAAAGGCCATGGGATGAAATAGCTAACTTGTGACACTCACAGTAGAAATTAGCCTCGACAGACATAAGAAAACTATATCCCAAGTCCCCCTCTTCTACGTCTTTTATTTCATGGTATTTTTCCCTCAAAAATAAAAATACAGTAAAGATGGATTCTGAGCTGCCATCCAGGGATGGATGGATATTTTCTGTAGCTTTAAAACTAGTGTAATTATTGTCAGCTGCCCTGTGGGTGTGATTGGAATATCCACTGATTTTGTAAACTGTTTTGACAGTGGTGTTTGCTGGACAATTTCTTAGCATAATAATTTTTCTGCCACTAATTAAAAGCATCTTTGTAACCCTAGGCTTTGTTTTCTTCTTACAGCAAAGAGCTCCAGGGAAAGTTTTGCATGATGCTGTTTGCAACCACCTGAACCTTGTTGAAGGCGACTATTTTGGCCTTGAATTTCCAGATCATAAAAAGATGATGGTATGTAAAAGGATTAATTTTCAGCTGGTTTTCATCTACATACACACTGTATTCTCTCCTTCTGCTCCTTACTTATGAGGTATATTTAATCCTTAGTCTCCAAAAGAAAAAAGGACTTTTTAAAAAAAATGTTCTTGCTTGCTGGAGTTGAAGAAATGTTTTTAAAACCTGATTACTCCTGTCAGATTTCATCTGTGTTGAAAGTAACAGCCAATTCAGGCACAACTTGGAAAAGCATTTTATCTTTATAAGTTGCAGTAGAGAAGCCAAAGACTTGACTGTTGCAGAGTCTCAACTCTGATTTTACAGTCCTGCTTAATGTGGAGTGCAGAAATAATCTTTCTCTGCAGACAGAGAAGTTGCAATGATTGTGACACAGTTCCATGAAAAATGTTGTGGGGCAAGAAGATGGATAGATAAAATATAACAAGGTTAATAAAAAAGAAAACAAAACCAAAAAACCCAAATAAATTGATGGAAGTCCTGTCTGGGGAGCTGTGTGGCACATGCCGGTGCCCTGGTCCTGATACTTCGGACTCTGAAACAGCCAGGGGCTGCTGGCAACATTCAGGCATTGCACTAATACTTCTAGGGTGGAAACAGTATCATGTAGCAGAGAAAGCCAAAGGCTAATGACTTCTCAGCCTCTAATGACTTTCTTTCTGAAGTTTGTTTTACTTTAGACTTACTGTGTGACCTGCTGGCATGTGTGCTAGTTATCTGGATTGTTTGACCAGTACATTCTGGTGTGTACTGGATTTCTTGCCTGTTTAGTGAATTCTGCACTAGTAGCCTGGCTGACCTGAAGGAGACGACTTGGGGCAATTAGAAAAAAAATAAATAATCTATTTTCTGTCAATCTATATAAAATTTCTGTAGGGAGCAATATTTCTTACCAAAAGAGGATTTATCTGCTGCTGCATTAATCTGTTGTCATGCCTTAGTGCAGGTTTACATAGACATTAGAACTGAAGACTAGTGGTCATAATGCTTTAGGCTAACTATAATTAAAGAGGAAATTTTTAAAAACGGACATAGGTCTTTAAAAGTGATCTGCTTCACAGTTTGCTCCTGGATTTACATGAAACACGGTTTACTAGAAAGTTTCATATTCTGCCAGATATGCTTGGTTAATGCTTTAGGTAACTTGAGAGAGAGCTGAACACAACTCTTCAAAACAGTGCAACTGTACAGTACTATTACAACAGAGGGTTGATGTAGCCATGTTAATAATGACATACTGATGTTCCTGATGTATATATGTATGTATGTATGTAAAGCTGAAACAAATCCCAATGTCTTGTGTATATATGGTTCCTTTTCAGTTTTCTAGAAAATAGAGAAGGTCATTTGATTGACCTTCTCTACTTCACAGGTCATTAAGTTTCAAATAGATGACCCTCTGTGTTTTGCTCAGAGACCTGAAGTAAACTAACAGTTTTCAGTCTTGTGAAAACAAAATGGTTTATTTGCTTGAGGCAGAACACAGGAGAGATTGAGGTGCTGCCAGTGCCTGAGGCCCTTGCAGTGGCAGGAACTGACTGGCTGGAAATATGTCCAGACGATCACAGTGGGGGAGCCAGGACTCTGATGAAGAAGGTGGTGGAGAAAACCCCCTAAAGGCTATTGCCAGTTTGACCTGAAGGAAGATGCCTCCATGTGTCGAGCATGGTAATTTACCTGGCACCTACTCTTGCAAAAGGAAATACTAGCTAAGTACCTGAGACCACCTGTCCATGTACCTGCTGGTTGTTCCAGTCTTTGCTTCTGAAGAAGGGGGAGATCCCCAAATCTTGCCTACTCGAGTCAGCTGTGCCCCAAGAATGGTGAGATTCAGGGGAAGTAACAACTTCAACCACCTAAAAGCAACTCACAGAAACTCTGAAGAAGGAGATTTGATTATGAATTGTTGTTTCAATGGGGAGCAGCACTCTGAGAGTAATATTTACACTTAAATTATAGTAACCATTTTATATGATGCAGTTGAGGTGAATGTTCCTGTGGGATTTAAAACTTTCTGAGCTTCATAATGGCCATAATGTAGAACTCAAGCATTGTGCAAATAAAATAAATTGCAGTTAATGGTGTGTCTGAGAAATAAACCACACATATGTATTTTACATTCATAACATCTGAAGAGAATGAGTTGCTTTTCCAATGTAGAGTGCAATTTAAAAGGAAAAACAAATATTTAGAGCATATTTGTTTGGATGTAATCATATGTACATGAAGTCATGTATTCACAGTTCAGCTGTGTTTGTTTCAACATGCAAGGCTCCAGACCTCATATCTGACATAATGACAGTTGTATGTCAAGATGCCTGGCAGCTGTATACATTTAAGTGTGCTGTGCTTGCAGCAGACAAGATCTGCATGGGAGATGAATGTGGAGGTCTGAGGGCTGTACTTCCTGCTGGGGTTTCACAGAGTTTCATCACACTTGATGTCTGTGCCAGTTCTCCAGCTGCTGCAATCCGGTCACTATCACAGAATGCCAGACTTTGTTTAAAAAATAAATAATCTGGCCTTTGTAGTTCCAGGGAAAATTGAAAACATGAATCTTAATTGAATCCTCACATAATTTTTCATTTCCAGTTTATAAACCAGTCTCAGATTGGCTGTGTTTAGGTACAGCGTGGGAGTTGCTTGATGCATAAGTTTTTGTTTGCTTGGGTTTGGTGGTAATGGTAAGGTCTTCATTTTGCTCCACCTTTCTCCCTACACACGTTCAATACGCACATTTCTAGTATCCAGCAGTCTGGTCAAGGATATTATAACTTGCTTGTAGGATGATTGGGAAAGCGGAGAAGGGAACAATACACTTGTGCCCTCATGCTGTATCATAAACTCCCTCTGGAGAGAGAGAATTTTGTTGGTTTGGGGTTGGGGTTGGGTTGGTTTGGTTTGGGGTTTTTTTGGTGTCAAGTAAAATACATTACTCCCATATTCTTGTAAACTGGCTGTTTCATATTCAAGATTATTTTTTTTTCCCACTAAACTTGGCAAAGTCCCTGACCTTTGTTGCAGATTATGCACATGCCAACTTTCTGAAACAAAACAGTTTTAAGTTACTGAAATGCCAAAAAGTGTCAGAACCAGTTTAATGTGTAATAAACACTGTGTTCCTATTCTTGGATAACCAAGTTTCTTTAGCCTTTATGAAAAAAAAAACCCAACAAAAAACCCAAACCTTTCATAGGCTGAGAAACATAAAAAGAATTCCATTGAGAAATGTTAGTGGGTGTGAAAGGGCAGGAATGTGAGGTCTTTGCTAATTGGAAGCACTTGTATTAGTAATGATGAAAATAGCAAACAGCATTGGAGCAGTTATAGCAGCAATACAGGCTGTTCCTGTCTGGCTTCTCAGGTGATTTTCTAAAATGGCTATTTTGAGTATGTTTCGGTCTCTGCATAATCTAAAATTATTAAAGGTCAAAGATGTGTTCATTTCAGTACATAGTCTTTTTCTAGAGGAAGACTCAGTTAACTTGTTTTTTTAATGGCTTTAACCTTTGTGACGGTTGTAGGATATTCCTCCACAAATTCCAGGCATCTCCAAGGGATGCTCCATGCAATTTAGCGAGATAACAAAATACAAATCTTGGGCATAGGTAGTTACCGGCTAAGGACTGTGAGCTGTCCCACTTCCCTAGGCCCTGCAAGTCATCTGGCTTTTACCTGCTGCATGATTGTCCCTCGGCTTTCTATAACATTTTGCCCAGGCCCTTCTGACTGAGACTGCAGAATGGGGGTTTAGGCTCTGAAAACTGTATTTTCCCCCTGTTGTCTGCCTCACGCCCTTGACCTGAGAGAACGTTCCTCCCCAAGGTGGTGGAGCTCCACATTTATGCCCAGGCCTCACAGTGGGACTCCTCTTGGGTCCCCAAAACCAGGCGGTTGCCACCTTCTCATTTCTCGTTTGCCCAGTGTTCCCAGCTCAAAGGCAAGCACCAGCCCCTTTCACTTGCCTTTCTCAAGATTAATTAGGGTGAGGACCACAATGACAGTATAGCACTGTCTTTTTCTGAATTCCTTGTTTCGGTTGTTCTTTCCACAACGCGAATGGTTCCTGACTAAACGTGCTGTGATTGTTGGTATCCGAGACAAGGGAGGGGGAGATTTCCTCACTGTTTCCCAGCTCTCTGAATCTGTACTGCTCCAAAACCTGTGCCGCAGTGACAACCCATTAACAGTGCTGTTTCTGAGCATCTTCCAGAGTTTGGGGGAGAAAACCCACTACGTATAATTAGGGAGAGCATGACGACCACACTGGAAAAAAATAACTGATAATCGAAGTAGAGCAATGAAAAATGCTCCTCTGCGAGCAGTGGTTTGTTCAGAGATGATAACACCACCGTCTTTTGTTTTCAGGTGTGGCTTGATCTTTTGAAGCCTGTTATGAAACAGATTAGAAGTAAGTACTTCCTTGCTGTCATTTATTTTGTCAGTCTGAGAGTACTTGAATAAATTAGGACTCTGTCAGTTGGGATCTTTATCTTCTCAACTTTCTTCACTGAATTTTATTTGGCTTATTTTTTATTTCTCGTCTGTCCTTAAAAGATGTACTGTGAAATTATGTCACATGAACGTATGAAGGGGCTGACCCAGTAGGACACTGAGGTTTAGTCAGTCACTAGAAGAGGCAGTGGTGGCAATGGAGGGAACAATTTGGTAGAGAAAAAAGAGTGCAGTAAAAGAAGGATTAAAGGAAGCATACACTGCCAAAAGGTAGGAGTAATCAGGATAAAAGAACGGGAAGACTTTATTTCTGAGAAGGAGCTAGCAAATACATTACAACTGTGTGGTACATTGCTGCAGAACTTGGAACTATCTGAGACCAAGAGGAGGAAACAGGTTGGAATAGGGCCATCAGGGAAAGTTATGGTGGGTGGTAGGAAAAGACAGGAAATTGTAAATAGCCATCAGCTCTGGGAAGAGTAGAAGTGAACAGGAAAAGTTTTGGCGATTTTGTTTCTCTGTCAAATATCAGCAAAGATCTTCGTTTATTGAGCTTTGCCATGGAGATTAAGTTTTCCTAGGTGCCTCTCTGGTCATATTAGTCTGAGTGTATGCTCTGACACCTCTCCCTCTCTTGAGAGAGAGATGCATCGGTCCTTTTGTCACTGATCGTACTTGTAACAAACAGAGCAAATGAGCTGCTGTTAAACAGAAATAGTAATTGCTAGTGGACTTGAAAAATAGAGTGTATTTTAGCTCTCTCCTGTTCTAAAGCAAGGAAAATAGACATAAAGTATTTTATTGGATCAGCTGATGTAATTACTAAAACCAGACTCGGTTTTGGCAGAGTATCGACCAAGTTACTGTTCTCTTTTATTGTGTGTAAATTTTATTGTGCAGTCTCTAAGTAGCCTGAATACTAACGAAGGACAGGAGGTTTGCATGTATGTAGGCAGTGCAGGTTCCATGAGTCATCCCTTGTACATCATTCCGTGTAATAAAATTTGGCCAGTGTGTTACTGATGGTTTACTAACTTCCTTTGACATTTCCCCTAGGACCGAAGCACGTTGTTGTAAAATTTGTGGTAAAATTCTTCCCACCTGACCATGCTCAGCTGCAGGAGGAACTGACAAGGTTAGTAGCTGCATGACTTTTTTTTTTTATTATTAGTAAATCTCTGGTGGGCAGAGGGGAGAACATAGAATTTGAGATGATTGGATGAGGATCGATAGCTGCCCCTTAGTATTAGCTTGATGTTATTTGTCCCAACCTTGAATGCACCTGAAAAATAGGCCCTAAGATTCAGTTGCAGTCTGCGCTGAGAGGTTCTGCAAAGTGCAGGAGTCCTTTGCCTCCTTGGATTTGGGGTCCTGGGAGACCTTCGCTCCCCCCGAGAATAGGCAGTTCAGCAACAGAGTTCTCGAAGCCCCTGTGGCAGTGGTGTTGGAAGGGACCTAAGGCATGTGTTGGCATCCTGGGGCACTCTGCTGAGGGACACGTGTGACTCTGCACCCGCATTTGGGAGAGAGTTGTTGCAGCAGCATTGGACCCTATTTGTATAGCCAATGCAAATGCCAAAGGTTTGCACAGGTGGAAGTGTGACTTCGGAGATGGAGAAACGGAAAGGAGAGGGAATAAAATGGAAAGTAAGAGGAAGGTGGAGAATGATACGCACATATGCAGAAAGAGGTATCTTAAAGGTGTGTTTATTTTCAGTGAATTTTAAAAACTTCATTTTAGCTCTGAATTTCACAGGGCATTGTCATAAAGAGTCAAATTTCTCTGTGAGTAAATGTATATGTGAGGGACCTATTAAGGTTCTTCCTCATTAACAGGTCTTTCCTTTATGGTCAGAAACATTGTTTTGTTGCAGTATTTCTTCACTGCAACTTTTCAACTCTTTTTCCGATCTACTATATTATTATGTTTTAATTACATTTTTCCATTCTGATTCAGTATTTTCACTATTAGTTTTTATTTTCAATCTTCCTACAAGATGAAGTCCTCTTTTACAAAGAGCTCTTGTGTCCTTATGACCTGCTTTATAAAGAACAAGTCCACCTTTGTGACGTTCTGTGTTTATATGTCTTGTTTTATTTTGGTAATAGAGCAATGGAATGGAAAAAAAAAAAAAGAAATTATTGATATCTCTTGCTGGCCTGGACAGAGAAAAGTAAAATGTGGGGTAGGAAGAAAGAATGTTTACTTGAAAGACTGAGTAAAAACAATAAAGGGCTGAGTGGGAACTCACAGTGTGATGTTACTAATGAAACATTTCTGTTCTCAAATAGATATTCTGCGTATCAGTTGCCTAGTATGTGAACTGTAAATTGATTTTTGGGTGATCTCTTTCTGCACCTGGAGACGTGTCTCTGAATCCTAATGACTTTTTGTTGTTGTTAGATTTTAACTGTGTGCGCTAGGGAACTTGAATATATGTACACAGCAATGTGTAGGATGTGAAAGCATATCCACAGGGAACAGCTTCATCACTTGAAGAAGCAGAGAATACAACACTTTTGGGCTATGTTCTTCTACTAGGGTGAATTTTGTATGGGTAGGCAGATGTCTGCAGGTTTCAAAAGGACATTATTTAGATACGCTGTATTATTTCATGTACTGTGTATGTTTCCATACTCCTCAAATCAGCTTGCCCTTTTCATTTAGTTTACCTACATCTCCTCATTCAGAAACTCACTGTTCAAATGAGAGCTTTTCACTGAACCTGTTAAAATCTAGTCTTATTAAAAACTGTTGAGATCCTAGTATGAGTTCTCCAGAGGAGCTGCAGTCTTTGGAAGGCTTGTTAAGGTGTCTGACCAGTTCAGATTTCATACCAACTGTAGGAGAAATGCCCACTGCTAGCTCATTTTTTTTTCTAGGGAAGTATTTGATGCTGCGTGGAGGTAAGCAATTTCAATTCCTGTTGAAGCTAAAAGAAATTTAAATGTTGAAATAATGTCATGGACCCGTGTTGTCTCTGCACTTAAACTGTTGATGTAGACTTGCCCTACGTGGCTGAGATGGTTTGGAGACGATGTTAAAAATGGCTGGTGCACAGGCGGTGCAGGTAATGGGGCCACGAAAGTATCAGAGCTAGCTAGAGTTGTTTGATCAAGATCTTGCTCCTTGTTTCCAGGTGAGTATCAAGGTGGAAGTTTAGAGTTCTCCTTCTATTCTACAAGAACTAACTGATAACTCTAAATCACTGGTTTATCTGGCATTTCTTCATAGTTACAAGCAGCTCCATTATCTAGTGCTGCTTGCTGTGCGGTTGCTGAGCACTTAATAGCTGTCACATTTGCTTCCACTGTCATATCTCATTACTCTGGTTCCAAGGGAGGGAAGGAGCGAGAAAGAGAGAGATATCTTAGTTCTGCAAAGCAGCCATCATGTAAGACTCCAAAGGCTGTAATACAGTATCTGTTATATTTCATTTAGCCTCTAAACTTAGGAAATTCAGATCATTTCTGTGGCTTAAAAAAGTGAAAGGAACATGTAGTCAAAACCAGAGTTGGCGTTGAAATACTTTCCCCTCTTTCCCCTCATGCTTTGTGTAACTCTGTTCACTTTTGTTTTGCAGGTACCTATTTGCATTGCAAGTGAAGCAGGACCTGGCACAGGGAAGGCTAACGTGTAATGATACCAGCACTGCCCTCTTAATCTCGCACATAGTACAGTGTAAGTTCCCTTTTTTCTTCTTTCCAGGAGGATAAACAGGATGATTGGCTGGACATGCTTTGCTGGGTTACCTGTTAGTAGCTGCCATGGGGACAGATTTAAGCCATATGGACAATTTATTGTATTTCTCTATAATGGCGTTCAAATACAGATAATTTACTCTTTCAATTAAAGAAGAGCTCCTGGACACTGGATTTGCATTTTTTAAAGCACTGCATTCGATAGTCTGCCTAGGATCATTTAAAAAGCAAACTTTGCAGGCAGTGGCAAACAGGTTGAATTCTTCTGAATTCCTGTTTTATTACACTTTGTATCATGTCAGCAGAGCATTCAAATTCCTGGAGATCTGTATGCTGTCTAGAGAATGTAGTAAATAAACATGCTTAGAATGCCAGACTAAATCACAGTCCTAAGAGGAAACTGATAGGGAAGAAAAAAACAACAGATTTTAAGCTTTTTTTTTTTTTTTTTAAATTGTGAAGTATGCACAATAAGACTGTTCAGTAGAATCATACATTAACTTTGTTCATCACATCAAAGCTTCTTTTAGCTTCCAGACCACCTGAAAGGCAGCATATGTTTTCCATTTCAAGACTTTATGGATACTCATCTTGAGAATAACATTAGGAAAAAACATTTAGTAGTATGTATAATGGTCATAATAGACCATTGTTTTGAATGGTCATTGTACAATTCAGTATTGCGTATTTCCACTGAAATGCTGTTTTATGGAAATTGCGGTCAACAAAGACATTCAGAAGCTCTTTAGTGATGAACAGAAAAATCTCATGATCCTTTGTCCTTGGCTGTTTGAGTGTTAGGACAGTTTCTTATCAATTGCTGTTGGAAAGGCAACTATTGCATGGTTTTCTGTATGCTATGGTCGCCATTGCCCAGTGTGACTGAGTAGCAATAAGAAGCTGTACAACAGTCTCTGAAATTCTGTATTCCTCATACCATTTTAAAACTGAGTATTTTTGCAGCACAGACCTTAAAAAAAAATAAAAAATCCTTGGCTAGCGAGCTTTTTGTGTCTTTTAGTTTTTCCCGTTATGGTGTCCAGCATGCCAGCTGTAGTTCTTTCCTCGTTTAAGCTGATTCTAACTTCTTTTCGTCTCAGGAAAAAAGCCGTAATAATTTGGGGGAAACTGATTATAATTTCTTACACTGCATTCTAGGAGGGTGAGTTTTCCTACTAAAAGTCTGTGCACCAACGAAAGAGAGGACACCCTAATGCATGTGTCCCTCTTCATTTGAGGTATTGCTTCGTGATCATCCTCTCTTGAGCTCTTATACTTTACATACATTATTTTCCTTATGATTTCTACTTAGATCCTATTTCATGTCTTACTCATCTCTTATTGATTACTCAATTAAATTCTTCACTGAACCATCTACAGCTCTGGTGTCTGAACTTCTCAGAGTGCAACTGCTAGCTTGTTTTCCTAAAGCAACAGCATAAGGGGATAAAATATAGGATGTCCTTTCACCTTTACAAGCTGTCCCTTTCCCTTCTCCCCATAGTCAAACTCAAATTTAATTCAGTGTTTTTTCAAAATTCCTCCCTTATACACTTAGCCACCTATGCAGGCTGGCAAGAAGCATTCATTTCCAAGTATGCAAAAATGGCAAATCACCACCATTGCTTTTATGCTGCTGAGATGCATTATACTGTTGGATTAAATAATTTTCCTCAGTAACTGGAAATGATCATGATGCATTTGAAATCTTTCTAGTTCTTTGTCCACTTCACCTGTGAGCATGAGGTGCAGAGTGATTCTGAACTGAGATTTTAGGAGTCAAGTAGTACTCTCTTTATGGGGAGAGTAAGGTAAGATACTTCTGTACTGAAAAACAGAGTTTTTCCGTCATGTCAGAAGGAGAGATTTGAGAGATTCATCATGCGGAAGTGAGATAGTATTCACAGAATCTGAACTGCCATTTTGGGCAGAGGGATGTTATGCCTCATGGTGCACCTGCAGTGCTGCTTCTCCTCGCCATCTCCTGACTGCAAGCTGGACCTTTTTTTTGGTGTTCATGATTTTTGCCCTCTCCCTTTTTTTGTGTAACAAGTGTTTGCTAGAAACCACCAGAAGTTTGCAACTGTCTCATTTATTTATGCATCTTGTGTCTCAAACATTTTTCTGTGAAAATTTTCTTTGCCAAGAGTCTATAGCTGTATCTCACCCACATGGCTGTCTTTTGTATTTATTTTCTTTCTAGCTTATTATTCAGTAGCAAAAAAAATTACATATTTGTCTGCAACAAAAATAAGACTAGGCAGCTGATAAGAGTAATGATATCAAAGCAGCAAGATTGAGAATGCAGGAGGCTAAGTATTGTATGTCTTATTGATGCTGTGCCTGCGAGCAGTTTCCATGGGGGATATCTGATTCCAAGAGGCCCTTATATTATGTATACAAGCTTATGTCAATGTTACAGACTGTTATTTATATGAAATCATAATATGACAGCAAATAGGTTTCTGTTAAATTAGCATGTGTGTTACAGAATGAAATTTATATTTGAAACATTCTATTTAAAAATACCTTAAAAGCATTGTAGAAAGTGTAAAAAGTGAGAGGATGCTTTGATACTGCAAATGATGCAGTAAAGTGAGTGTGTGAAGTAAGAAGATGGACTGATTAAAGGAAAAGAGTTGAAATACAAAGCATTAGACATATCAGAAGTGCTAATGCAGATGGAATACAGCGTGGTGTAATGCATTTGCAAGATAAGAAAAAAGGGAGCATCAGTGAAAATCAATCTTTGGCTAAAACACAAGAGAAGATTTTAAAGAAGAATTATATGTGAGGCTGACAATATTCAAAACATGTCAAAATATAACTCCCTCTCATTCTAGAGGAACCACTACTAGAAAGGCATTTAAGGTGGAAAAGGAGGGCTAAGGAGAAAAGTAAAAGCTGTTGAGTACAAGGTCACAGAGAACAAATTCAGAAGTAACTTGAAAGCCAGGACGACAATTTTGATAATGGATTTGCAGTTGACAAATGCAGAGAACATTATAGAAATCATGTAGAGGTGAAATAAGACTCTTCTGTACTCTTGGCTCTGAAGAAAGCCCTACAGAAGGTGGTTTAAGTCCAGCCGGGTACAAGGATGTACAGGGTATGAACTGCATTTTAAAGAATCGAGGCCCGTGTTATTTGAGGTGTTGCAAACTTAGGTGGGTTTATGGCTTCATTAAAGAAGAGAAACTTGCCTTTCGTTTGAGTTAGGGTTTAAAACAGACCCTAAAGATTTGTGATGCTGGGGTGAGTAAAACGGGAGTGAGGGAGTTGTTTCTGAGATGGGGACAAAAGGGACATTTTACAAAGGAGAATTCTCAAAAGCTTCTGTAGTATTTCTCCTGTCTCAAGGAATGGTTCAGAGCAGATGGGATGAGGTGGAAATCAGACAGTCTCAGTTATCAATTCTTTTCCACCTCTGACCTCCAAAGTATAAGAAGTCATCGTGTGGCTGCAGGCAATTGGGGTTGAAAGGTTACTGCTCTGTCATTCATAGATGCTTTGGTCCTCATCTTCCCTGCCTACACAAGGTTATTGCTCCCCCTCCGCCTTTGCAGGTACATCTGATCCCAGGCAAACTTGTCAGAAATCATCCGCAGTGTTTTAAACATTATCTGAAACCTTTCCTTTTTTCCAAACCAGCTTGTTTTGGACAGAACTGGATTAAGGGTTCATTTACATGGGCAGAACTGAGGTGAGGATGAGGCAAGGATCTGAGGGTCTTGGGTCTGTGGTATCCCAGGTCAACTGCGCAACAACATGTCTGACTGCAACCTGGATTTAATTTGAGGGTGCTGCATTTTAATTTCACTGACGTTATTAAGGTAGCAGCCTTTCTTGTAGGGATGTTGCTATTATTCCAGCAGGTTTGCAGGTAGAAGCTGCTGTGCTGTTCAGTGAAAAAGCTAACAGCGAGATTTTCAGAGGCATTCCAAGAATAGCAGGCAACAAGATAGTAATCTGGCACCCACATGTAGATTGCCTGCCCACCCCCACCAAAAAAAGGAAATTTCACTGAATGGGCTGCAAAATGGAAGGTGGGTGTGACATACTGTTGCACACACGGTATTGAATAACTGCAGCAGATGGGAGCAACTTTGAGGAGGAGGGAGACAGAATGTGTCTCAAACTGCTGCAAAATTAGAGGAAGACAAATGTTTCGTAACCCCATGAGGTAGAATACATGCCTGCATTCAAACAAGCAAACAAAACCATCTTTCAGATTTTCCCACAAAGACTACAGTGTGGGGCATGGGCCTGGGAAGGAAGCTTGTGCTTGTCTGCTCCAGGGAAAGGCACCTGAGCACCATGATGCGTGTGAGAGAGAGGGATGAGTTCTGCTGTCCTTCCTCTCACCCCTGCCCTTACCCTGCGCACAAGTCAAGGCAGCACTGTGATGCCTTCATTTGTGCAGTTGACATCCAACAGCTACTTACTTGGTTGTGGTGGTTGGGAGGAATCCTTGGGCTTCTTCTCGCATATCTCTTGCTAACACAGAGAAGGGAGGAATGTGTGGAAGATAACAGTGGGAATCTGAGTCGTAAAACCATGACACAGCTTGCAAGAAACTGTGTTTGTTTCTCTGCCCTCTTTCCAGCTGTCTGCACCTTTTGCATTGCCTGAATAATTCAGATTTAATATAATGTTTTAATAGACTTTTCTTAAAATTCTCCATAGCTGAGATTGGGGATTTTGATGAAACCATAGATCGTGAACACTTAGCGAAGAACAAGTATATACCTCAGCAAGAAGCACTAGAAGACAAAATCATGGAATTTCACCGTAGCCACATGTAAGCCCTTTTTGTTCTTGTTCTTGGCCTTCTTTTCATTTAGAGTAGTTCTAACCGTAAATACATGCTAGATCGTAAGTACAAAAGAGATTTGGACCTCTGAGTTTCTCAGTTTCTCAGAGGTTACTTCTCAAAAAACATTCAAGCCTATGAATTTCCTGAAGGTTACTCCTGCCTTTCTCCCGTCATCGTAACAAGATGTTTAAAGAGCGATTGATTTTGATATTCATTCAAGCATGCTGTTATTTTACAGTCTATTTCATACAAAATGCCTCACTGCTGATTTTGTGCATGCAGGTATGATTGCAAATTATGACTGATCAGTCGGGCACTTCTGACAGCAGTCTTTCTGATTTCAAGGACATTGAATGTTGCCTTTTCACCTTTCCATGCTGTATTTAGAGATGAGTAAAGAAGGGGTTTATTGATAGTATTAGGAAAAGCACAAAGTGCTTGCAGAATTAGGGATTTGGGGGAGTAGGATTCAAGATGATGATGCAAATTGCTATCCTAAGACCTGGAGAAAAGACTAGTAGTAAGAAGATGGTTAAAAGAATTATGAATAAGGCATAGGAAGGTATTTTTTGCTGTCAAGAACACTTCAAGACTTGAACAGTTTCATTTTGAGTTACACTGAATTAGATATGAGTGGTAGGGAGTTCTATAACAGTAATAATCAAAACTTTTGCATAATTTCATCATGATTAATTTAGTGCTTATGGGTTCCTATACATTTATGTTAAGGTTTTCATGTCTTCTGTTTTACTTCATTTTGGTATTGCGTTCACTTCTACAATGAACAACATCCTTACACACTTCTATTTATGATTTATTTTTTTTTTTTTTAGGAATACAGCATGTTTTTCCAATAGAAAATACAAAGAGAGGTAGTGAATTCTGTTAAAGTTAATGGTTCAAAATCTAGCTGTATCGGGTGTCTCAGAATTGGAGCAATCAAAATTTCTAATAGACTGTAAAATCTGTGGATTCTTTGGTATTGGTTTAGACTAAGATAAAGTTGTTGTTCTCTCTGATAAAAATCTGGGGACATAGAAGAACCATACGGATATTACACCTCTGGCATGTTTCAGTCTCTTTGATGAAATCTCTCTTTGTTCACTAGAGGACCTGTTGATCTCTATTAAAAGGTGTGAAGAATTTGTGCGTCTTCTCTGTTTTCTTTCTCAAGGGGACAGACACCAGCAGAGTCTGACTTCCAGCTTTTGGAGATTGCCCGTCGGCTGGAGATGTATGGAATACGCTTGCATCCAGCCAAGGACAGGGAAGGGACAAAAATCAACCTGGCTGTCGCCAACACAGGCATTCTGGTGTTTCAGGTTAGAGCTGCTCAGGGCATGACTTTGTACTTTATAAAGCAGAGAGATCTCTTACAGCAATAAGAATTCAGGACCTCAGCCACGTCTAAAAGATTTCTGTTGGGAAAATTCAGGAACTTCCAAATTTTTTCTAACAGTGACCTTACACCATTTATAGCTGCATTAGGTCCTTCACTTCCAGGGACTCTTACCTTATTTGCATGCACAGGGTAGAACTCCATCTGCAGCCACAATGTGCTGTTCGGGATGCAAACTGATCCACAGCTTGCAATTTGCAAGTTGGTCATGCTGACACCTCTTACATACAGGAGCAGGTAGGTCTTGCAGGAGTGGTGCATACTAAATGGGTGTGAGGCAGGGACAAATAAAATAACAGACAACTGGAGTACATGGAGAAGGATGTAGGCATCAACTAAATGGGTTGCTAGTAAAACACCCAAATTGAAGCACAGGGTGAAAGGTGAGAAAACCAGGATGTTGTTAGAAATGCACATAACTCAAATAATTTTATGTTCAGACCCTTTCCCTGCTACCCCACAATTTTTTCATCAGCTGAAGTAATTAGTTGCAAAGCCTTATAAATTAAGACTGTCTTACAGCTGAAAGTATGTGTCCACACAAAACAGCATGAACCTCACTGAGTCCCAGCAGACAGCTGGGATCCTTCTGTAAAGATGTAGCTGCTAGTTGAAGGCCCAAGGCCTGATTTGTAAAGCTCTAAAACTCAGTCATCTCTTCTTGTCCTAATGTGTTTGGGACTTTCAAAACAGTTTTGGGTTTGGGTTTGGTTTTTTTTTTTGGAACTTTCAGAAAAGCTTGGAAATTTTGCTGGATCAAGCCAGAAGACTGAATGCTGAAAAGGAAGTCAGGTTCTGACCTGCTGGAGTCTGCCCTGAATTGGCATCTGGCAGTAGGCTTAGGGTTTCCTTCAAGCGCTTCATAGGGCAAGAGCCTTAAGTTCATCCTTTTATTTTGGATATAACTGATACAAATTGAAATATGAAGACCTCATTAGAATGACCTCAAGGAAAAGAAAGGTTCACTCACAAATGGCACTAGCAGTAGTCAGGCTTATTTTAAAGCATGCCATTTATTTAGAAATCAGTGTCAGTGCTGCTGAATATTCTAAGGGAGATTAATTATGTGATGCTTAGACAGCAGGTTGACTTAGCAGACATCATCACACTGTCATTACTCCTACATCCGTCTGGTGACGACGCCCAAAACAACATGGATTTCTGCATTTAGCAATCCTGTAGTAGCTCTCTGAAACTTCCATGCTGTGCTGTAGGCATGTTTGTATTTAAATCTGTACTGAACAAACTGCTGTAATGGATATTTTAAAATAATATCTCTAATACCGTCTAACAAAGGTTAAGAACGAGACTTCTGGGATGTAGGGGCTAATGATGCAGTGGCTGGGAATTGTAGTATTCTGAAGATAATTTCTCTCAGTCTAGCTGTTTGCTTCTGGTTTTTGGTTGCTGGTTTTTGGGGGAAAAGCATTTTTTGACTCTTCAGAGACAAGTAAGTTATTCAGATTCCTTTTACTTCTGTTGCTCCCCATGAAAGGTCAAAATACTCCCAGTATTTTGTATTTCCGATACAAAATTTCCGCCCTCCCCCCCTCCCCAGTTAGGTAACATTTAAAGGGGTGTTTATTTTGCGCTGTAGACAAAGAGGAAGGAAATCTACCCCATCAAAGTGAGGTGACATGTCATGTGTCTGGATTCCCTCAGTTCCCTGTAGGTGGTAGAAAGAGAAGGAGGCATCTCTGGGACATGACTTCGTCCTCTGAAAATCTGAGTCTGCATAGTGGAACAAGATAACATCATCTGGGCAAAAGCTGGGCCGCCCTGTTTTGTGCCGTGATACTGGGTCAGATGGCTTTCACAGCAACTCAGTACACCTAGCCCTATAACTAAGCAAGAGTTTAACCCTTCAGTCACAGCACCAGATGTTTATGGTTTGCATTATCAGAGGATAAATGATAAGAAATATTATAATTTCAAGTGAAGTGAATAGATGATTAATATATGACAAGCTTTCTTTAGTGGTCTACATTTTTCCATTCAGATCTGGAATGCTTAAACTCTGCTGGCTTTTTTCTCTGTAGGGTCACACCAAGATCAATGCCTTCAACTGGGCTAAGGTTCGAAAGCTGAGCTTCAAGAGGAAACGTTTTCTGATCAAGCTGCGGCCTGATGTGAATGTAAGTCCTTGTCAGGAAATGAAGTTGACAAAAGGTTATTTGGTAAATTTCTACTGACAGATCAGACATATGTTTTTATCACCTCAATAAGATTTTTGGTTTTTATCACCTCAATAAGATTTTTGGTTTTTATCACCTCAGTAAGATTTTTGGGTTTGTTATGTTAATTGCTTATGTTCACTGTTGGTACTGCACGCATCAACCTGGCATCTCAGGTGAGCAGTCCTAGCAAAGGAAATGTAAGCTGAATGTCACAGAGTCATCTTCTGGTTGCGACTCTGGTACTATATCATCAATTCTTAAGTTATAGCATGTAAACCACCTCTTCTCATTAATGTTAAGACCACTTTATTTCTGTCATATTTGCCAATGAAAGGAAGTTTGAGCAATAGGTCTGATACTGCCAAGCAGACCAGCGATATCTCAAAGTGAGAAGGATACGGTCTGTTAAGCCTGAACGCCAATGAGTTGGGGAAAAAGCTTTTTTTTTTTGTAGCATAGCACCTGTTTTGTCAATGCATCTCTGTAATATATGTTGCTTGCTTGCTTACATTGCAAATGCTATCTCAATTTTCAGAGTTCATTCCAGGACACCCTGGAATTCCTTATGGCCAGTCGAGATTTTTGCAAGTCTTTCTGGAAGATCTGTGTAGAGCATCATGCCTTTTTCAGGCTTTTTGAGGAACCTAAACCAAAGCCCAAACCTGTTCTTTTTTCTAGAGGTTCATCATTTAGGTTCAGGTAAGACCTTCATTCTTCTTTCCACCTTTGTCACCTCCCCATTTCAAAATCACATCCTTAATGATCTAGAATTAAACCTATTATTTTCAGCTCCCTTTTTTGCACTGTAGTTTGCTCCTTTATATTTTCCATTGCCTCTTCTCAGCCAAAGCAGTGCAAAGAACATAGTATGCAAAAAGCCTGCATTGATTTTGTAGCAGCTGTTGCAAAGTAGCTTTCTGCAAGTAAGATATAAAGTATATAGGTTCCACCTGGTTTCACATAAGAAAATCTGCCTGTGCCCTAAGCAACACTAGCTAGCAACTTTTTGGCACTCTTTGGATCCTCTGCTTCTAGGATCAGATCTCTCCTATGTATTAGAGTACAGATTTGTATTTTCATTGCATGTGCCTGTGGTAAACCCATCTCTATGCAGTTAAAAGCAATGGCTTGTCTTTATGCTGAGACCTTTATGCTTGCAAAGAATTTATGTGAGATGACCACCAATGCTAAGGCTATGTCTACCTGCATTCTTGTGAGAGCTGTAGAAAAGTTTTTAATGGTTGGGTTCTCATTGTAGATATTGTATTGTGTATGCCAGGGGGGAAATCCTTTTATTCATACAGTTTATTTTGTTTGCGAAGGTGATATAAGCTGAACAGCCAGAAACCCTCTTTGCTGAGAGAAACTGTACACTCTAGTTGCCTTGCACAAGAACATAGTAAATACGGCCATTCTAACTCTCTTCCCACTTTGTTTCCTGCCTGCAAAGTAAATTAAGTAAAATGGAAGGATCTATGTTAGGGTAAACAAGCTATAACTTAAGTTTCTCCTGAGTAAATAGACTGTAGGTGCATTCAACTCTACCTCCTGGTTTGGAGAGCAAGTTCTGGCTACATCCTCCACTCACTGTGGTGTGTGTTACATATATTCAGTAATTTTTTCCAGGCCTTGTGGTACTTATGTTGAAAACCTCTAATGAATGGGAAGGGTTTGATTCTCTATTGAGCATTCTTGAGGTGTGGGTTTCCAGTTCCCTTTGGAGTTTATAACTGTGCACAATAGGAAGTGCTAGGCTTTCTCACTACTTTTTCACAGCCTGTAGCAGAAGGGGAGAAAGGGATTTCCAGCCTAAATCTCTGCAGAAAATGTATATATGCTTATATAGCTTATATATATACTAAACACAGTTGACGTATTTAGTAGTAGCAGCTGAGTCATGAAATAGATTTCAGCAGTTTTCGTCTTGGTTCCAGGGTTTACTGATACCAGGTAAGGCTGGCATTTGACTTGAAAGGATTCAAGAATGTTTTTCGTTCATGAGAGGAAAACTTAACCCCTGCTTCGCTTTCTGTTGTGGTGACTTCCCAGTAATGTAGTACCCTGTAAAGGGCACACAACTGAATTTAAGCAGTTCTGAAAAGGCATCAAAAAGTAGCTCCATAGCAAAAAAAAAAGAGGCAAGTACCATGCAAAATGATAAAAATCTGTGTGTATCTGACCGGCAGCTCCCCTTTCTTATGATTCTACGTGAGTTTCTGTTAATAGTGACAAATACTTTTCTGGTTGCTGTGACTTCATATGCAGGCCACATACGTGTCTATGATGACCAGGTGGTATATTGCATTAAATGTTTTAACTGTGGTTTTCTTCCAGTGGTCGGACTCAGAAGCAAGTTCTTGACTATGTTAAAGAAGGAGGGCACAAAAAAGTGCAGTTTGAAAGGTGAGAGGAAGTAAATGAACTATCCCAATATGTTTTAATCAAATTATTTCCAGTTAGTTATATTCTAAGATCTTGGCACCAATCCACGTAAAAAAATTCCTTCTTTGCTGGTTTGACAGTTTATCACTTGTATAGTATCACCTTGGTCCTGAATGCTTTGGCGGAAGTTGGCACAACCTATAGTTTATTTAAAATCAATGGTCTTCAATCTGTTTTTCAGCAGTGACTGTTCTGCCATCACAGGTAACTTCCTCCCATATTGATTTGCACCCTCTTTGGTGGGTTGTGGTTAACATATGTGAACAGACTTATTCATCTTAGAATAAAACTAAAAGTAACAGGAACAGGTATAGCCAGCCTCAAGGGAGAGGTCTCCAGGGAAAGCTTACAACTTGCTAGAGCCAGTTCTGTCTGAACTCATCTTGCTCATGGTGAGCTGAAAGTAATGGCCAAAATTCCACGAAGACCATGACAGCAGTTCATTGCTTATGTCTCATGTTCTGGTGATAAACCATTTTTGCTTCAGTACCTCTCCCTTTTCTTACAGTGGTATGTTTGCAATGCATAGCACATTTAAATTTTACAGAATGGAAGAATGTTAATCTGATTTGGAGCAAACTTTTATGAAAGCTACCGTTCAAAGGTTTTGTTTTAAAGAAGGCATGTCTCTTGATTCCTATTTGTAGAAAAAACTGAAATGGCTTCTTACTGCAATTTTCCTTTTATCTCCAGGAAACACAGCAAGATTCATTCCATCAGGAGTCTGACTGCACAGCCTTCAGAACAGCATACAGAGGTGCCAAAACAAGTCAGTGATGTTGGTGAAACCCTGGATCATGCCTTTTAAACATTTCTTGTTAGAATCCACTGATTGCTGTTTTGAAACTCTAGGAGCATAGTTTTCTGCTCGCTTTCTGTTTAACTGGGAGCTGAGGAGCCCTGGGTGTCATAAGTTTTAGGTTCTGCAAGTGGAACAAGTTCATTTCCACTGTGGAACAGCATTGCTTCCAGACAATCAGACAAATACAAATAGTGAGCTTGCTGAGCTGTACTTAACGAGCATCTGAAAAATTGCAATCCACAGTGTTACTGCTGGTCCCTAGGTTGTAGCTGGTTATTGCATCTGGGAAAAGTTTCTTTTCCTTCACTGGGGAGTCTTGGTTGCCCGTGGCAAGCTGTTTTATTGTATTAACCAGGGAGGAGAAGAATTATTTCCTCAGAAAAATTATAGCTCTGTACTTTCAAGCCATTATCTCTGGTAGATACCTAATGGATTTGTCTTATGTTAGGAGCTGTTACATATTAGGTGTTTGCAAATCCAATAGCCCAACAGTGGTGAGGTTGCAGCAGCTGCATGTTCCCAGGTCCAGCTAGTAGTAAGGCTGACCATGTATTCACTATGGGCACCCACATATACAATATATATACATGTATACACACAGCCAGCCACACAGGTAAACACAGAGAACAGCACTCCCCCAAGACAGTGCCAGTGGCTGTTCCACTCCTTGGCTGATCAGGGTGAAAGTTCATTAGTGGAAGATGGGTAAACGATATGGATTCCTCCTGCAGCTGGTCTTAGACACTCAGTTTATCCAGTAGTGGGCCCCTGGATCCCCAGGTCTCCCAGTGGCTGGTACCTGGGCATACAAACCCCCAAGGCTCACAGCCCCACTCCAATTGCTGGTACTCAGATCTGCAGACACACACACATGCATGCTATGGGTTCCTCCAGTAATTCATCTTTGACTCTCAGTCTAGCCAGTAACTGACACTGGGATCCTCTGGTTCCTGGTTACCTCACACAGACACACATGCAAAGGTGTCTCTCCGGTAGCTGGTACAGACTCAGGACATTGCCAGTAATTGACCCCCAGGCTTCATGGTCTTTCCAGTGTCTGGCCTGACTTATGGCTGCTCCAGTACTTGGCTTCCAACTCCCTTATCCTGCTCATCAACTAGTCCAGTTTAATGTTTGCTAGCAATTACACGTTGACCTACCCACCTAACCAATATGCACGTGCTCTGGTTTCTCCAGTTGCTGGCATCCCAGACAAACCCAGACCATGGGCTGATGGCTCTCCTGGGACAGCCCCCAGAGGAGCCGGGTCAAGGAGCTTCATTTTCCTGACTAGGTTATTGAGGTTCCTCCACCCTGTTTCCGTGTGCTCATCCGTGTTTGTGGAGGCGAACCTTTAATCACATAACCTTATGTTAGGTAGAGCTTAAATGGCAGGAGCAAGTTACTAGATTAGTGTTTTTAAGAGTGCTACCCGAACCTTCACCTCCCTCGCATTGCTTCCTTTTGATATTCACAAGCTCTCTCATTTCTGCAAGCCTAAGAACTTGGGGAGAATTCTGTTATAAATGCAGCCCATTTCAAATATCTTTTAGCATTTTAATATCGCTAAGACAAGCTCAGGCAGATGGAGCATGGCTACTGGGCAGATTCGACATATTTATGCGTGCAGAAAAGCCATCCCATGAACTAGTGGCAGGTATGCTCCAGGGATTGAATGTGGGGTGCTCAAAAGCCCACACATGGCTTTTTTAGTGTGTATAAGTAGGCTGTGCAGAATGTGTCTCATGTGTTTATCTTTTCCTCCAGATTCTCAGAGTAGTGCGAACAGGTGGATGTTCTTAGAGTGTTGATGGCTGCCTTAGGGCATGGAAGCACCTCAAATACCCCTTTTTACATATCACCACATTCTGTCTGCCTTTTCTTCCCTTGCTTAGCTTATGTATTTTTCTCTTCTTCAAGATCAGAGACTTCTGTTTTTTTAATTCTAATTGATTTTGAAGCTTGGGTTGCCTCTTCTGCTTTCAAGAGATTCCTATGTTGCTGCAGATGCAGTGCAAAATTCTGGTGCATAATTACACATCGCCTTTTCCCTCTGGCTCCCTTCCCTCCCAAACCTCTCCCCTCCCACCCCTCCCTCTCCCTTTGTTTCCCCCTTGCCTTCCCTCTTTTATCTTTCCAGAGCTCTAGCTTTGCCTATGGAGACGACAATGATGCTGCAGCAGTGCCGAGCTGCCGGCAAGGAAAGGAATTGAAAGCTTCAACAGAAGACACTGGACAGCACAAGAGCCCTTCCTTGAAGAAGAGTCCAAAGGAAGGCAGAAAGGTGGATGGAGCAGTGGTGTCAACAGTGGAGGAAGAAGAGGAGGCTGCTAAGGACAGGATGCAGCAGAACAGACCTCAGTCACAGCAACCAAGCACAGGTCCAGCTTCCAGGGCTGCTCATGGCAGCAGCACCTCCATTCCTTTCATTGACTGCAGTGATGTAGATAGCGAGTATGATCTCCTCAGAGGACAAATAACCCGGTCATATTCCCAAACAAATGACAATTATGAGGGTGATTTGACCAGTGGTGCCTATATTCACTACAGAGATGAAAATCGCAATAGAACTAGATATAGGGATTCCTCGGCCTCTATAAAATCTTCCCAGTATCTCTCTGAAGAGTACCTTGATGATAACCCAGCTAATCTCTCCTTCTATACCGGGGGAAGCCCCAGGATGCCAAGGCACAGCTCACTGGTTGATGAAATGTTTAGAGGGGCAGGGAGCCGTAGTCCACTGGCCACTCCATTGCCTCCCAGCAGCAAAGGCTCAAGCCCTAACATGAGCCTGAGCCGAACTGGCTCTCAGGGTTATGTCTCAGAAAATGGGCATGACTGCAGGGTGAGGACTGGGAAGGAGGATAGCCACGCCAGTAGCTGCCACGAGTATTGCAGATATTCTCCAGGTTCTCAACGGCCTTGTGCACAGAAAATGCCAAATCTCTGCAATAAATCCGTTACAGATCCATTTATCCTAAGCCAGATATCCTCAACCCCTGGGCAGGAATATAGATCAGAGAGGTATTGTAAAGGAGGTGGAGTGACTAAGATGTCTTCTCCAGAAGGCAAAATGATGGCCAACGGTATGCCAGCTGGGGCACAGTCAAAGCAGAGCCCAGTCGTGCAGTCGCTGCATTCCAGTGGCGTGATGGATCACATGGCTGCAGTCCAGATGATGGAGGGCTCCACCAGCAGTGGGACAGAATCTAGCGATTCCGACTCGGAAATCATTAACCCCTTCACTCACCCCCTGGTGTTTGGAAATCCCATTGTGCTGAGTTCCTCTCCCATGCCTAGAAATAAGTACTCCTTTGGAAGCCTTCAGCTTGATGAGGAGGTAGAGGAGGATGTGTCTGTTGGCCTCAGTGATGAGGATGTTGTGCAGGTCTTCAGCTGCTAGGGACCGGGGCGTATGAGACCAGTGGATACTGTGACTGCTCATTAGAGCGGTTGCATCTTCTGGGGCTCATAAAGGGTGGCTGGTAATAATTTCAGTGCGTGGATCATTGTACTGATCAGCCAGAGGGAACGGATGCTAGAAATACAATAACAAGGAGAAGTTTCAGTGAAGCTTAGCAGTAATGCATCTCCTCTGAAAGGCAGGAGGAGAGGAAAATTGTTACTGATTTAGGTACCTTTGTAAGACTTTATACACTCACCTATTCTTTGTATGAAGTCATATTTTAGGTATATATTGTAGCTTCTTTGACACTTGACTAGTTATTTTGACAAAACAAACAAAAACAAAACTAAGTAGGTACGTTGTGCTATTTTGTACATCTATTACAATTTTTTTTTCTCTCCCATATAAGGAGAGCAACTTATGAGTGCCTCAACAGAGTTAGGGGAAAAAAATTAAACTTATAGCCAAATGCAAGACTTGTTGAAATCTTGAAATATGCTGGAAAATCTTTTCATAGCAAGAATGTGTTTGGTCTACTCATCTTCATAACCCATTTTATAATCTTAACTGATGAACTGAGGTTGCAAATTAGGCATGTGTACAGGAACAATGACAGTATTGGCTTTTTCTTCAGTGGGTTCAACAGGCTGATTTGGTGATGGAGATTTTGAAACTCCAAACTCTTTCTTGGGCAAGAAAGAGAACTAGGTGAAAGATATAATTCAAGTGAAAAAACCTAGATTGAAACAGCTCTAATGAAGAGTGGTACTACTGTTACTTGCAAGGCAATCCTTTCTATCCTTTATCAGTGTGGTATAAGGATTAATTGCAAGAGATTTTTTCCTCTTATTCTTTCAGTGGAATTATTATAGAGACATCAAAGATATGTTGTGGGTGATTTTTGGTGGGGGGGTTGGAGATTGTGGCTGTTTAATTTTTTTTTTTTGCTTTGATTATGAAAAATCTTTATCTTTACAGGGTCCAATTAGTCTGTCGTAGGCTATTTTTTCCCATAGTGCCACCTCATAAATTTTTCATCCCCTGACACAGAGAATGATGGGACTAACCGTAGTCCAGGCTGATTGTCTTCTGTACTGTACATAGAGTAGCAAGATTTTGGCACGTGTGCAGAAGGACAGAGAGACTAATTCTTTGTAAACTTCCTTTTCACAGGCTAAAAGTATTGAGAATTAAGGCTGTATCCTAATAAAATCTGGTTCTAGTTTCTCCAGGTTAACTAAGAAAATCCAGATGAAAAGTCTCCTGTATGTGAAGTGTCCTGCAGTTATTAGAGCTGAGAGACAAGATGTGCTCTTTAACACTGGCCTTAATTTTAACTTTTATATATTTTTCTTGTGGGAGAAGGGAACTAAATCTGAGGATTTTAAGTGATGAACAGCAGCACTGACTGAACTGCAGGTCACTTGCAGTGATCTGCATCATGCAGTACATGCGTGCAGCAATGATGAATCCACCCACATAAGTACCGATGAACAAGTTACAGGACTTTGTAAATCTAGACAATATAAAATTTTCAAAATCGTTTTTACAAAAATAATAAAATAAGAAGTCTTTTTAATTTTTCTAATGCCTTGGTCTATGCACACTTTAACAGAGTTTAATCTGAGTGAAGGATATTTAAAAAGATACCTACAGTAGTTAGGCATGTCTTGTTATATACTTTACTTTTTGCAGTAAAATATATCTTTGTGTAAATATAAGTTTTCACCCACTCATCTCCTTTAGTGTGTTGGTTTTCTTAAAGATTAGATACCTCATTTTTGAACAGGAATGATTTAAAACATCTCTTTAGACAGTGGTATTTTGGTGACAGGGAATGCTCTCATTTGTTCCTGTAGTTTAAAGCATGAACCTAGAAACAGCGAGATTGATAATTAGGGAAAAGCTTGCTTGTATATTATTCTAAAAGAAGGTGGTTTGTGTTTTGGATTTAGAATAGCTGTAAAATAATTGCCTTGAACTTCTCAATATTTAAGATGAAATATAAGTAGTTGAAGCCTGCGTTAACAGATAGCGTGAGCATGGGGAGTGGGTGCATGAGTCTCCTTTTGATTTTTTTGCTGCTTGTGCAGCAAAAGTACCGGTAGTTATATTATATAGTAAAGTAATAGCAATCTGGACAGATTAATTAATTGCTTTGTTAGCCAGTAGAATTAGAGTTCAAGTAATAGATTTTCAACAAAAGGATTTGCAGTCATTTCTGCTACTTAAGAAAAGTGAGTAGAGTTCATATTGTTTGGATTTAAGTGAATATAAAGTTTTATAAATGGTGTTTACTATTTTGCATCCTTTCAGATACTGTTTTCAGGCCTGATTTCTTCTCTCATATGCCTACAAAGATAATGGATTTATAATTTATAATAACAGACCTGCTGGTAGTTGGAGTTAGCCTAGTTGCTAATAACATATCTCAACAGCTTTTCTTTACCCTTTTGAATATTATCCTCAAAAATGAAATATGAGGATTTTTCTGCAGCTATTTTCTGTCATCTGGCACTTTTTTCCACTTCAAATGTTTAAGTGGTTGTTGTTTTAACACATGTGGAATTCTTCAAGTTTGAAGAAATAAAGTTTGTAAATTACATAGGAAATAACTTCATTTAGGATGAATCATTTTTGCAGCATTCTTACGCCACTGAAGTTCCATTTAATATCAGTAGACAAGCATTTAATTAAAAACAGTCTGAGGGCCAAATTCCTCCATCAGACATGTGGTTCATATCTGAGCGCTTGCCAAGAATGGTAAGTGAGAGAGCAGTTTTAAATTGATGTTTTCACATAGGGTCAGGTCCCTTAGAATTCATCTGGGAGTTTGTTTCTGTGGGACAAATACAGAAAGATGTTGCAGGAAAGAACAGAAACCTTTGGGGCAAGACTGCGGATGAGATGAGATGGGGGAATTCTCATTCTGGTTCACAAAGCACACACGGGAAGAGGAGCCTGTCAGTTCAAGTTTGTTGTTGCAAGCGTTGATTAATCTGCGTACGCTGGTCAACAGCAGTGGTCTAAGCATACCTGTGTCTCAAGTCTAACAGAGGTAGTTATAGACTAAGTAAAAGATTGGATTCTTCCACCGATTCCAGTAGATTTTGGAGTGTGGGTGATGGTACTTTTGATGCACTGTTCTGAATTTTTTTGTTCTCAATAATTAACTTTTAAATCCCATACTCATCATGTGCCCAGATATCCTTAGGCAATTGCTAGAAATGAGGGAGCTGAATCCCAGCAAGATCGAGCAGCTACATCTACTCTGAGTTGAGTAGTCCTGAGCCACCCATCTCCTGTCTTTCCAGCAGATGTGGAGGAAGCCTCTTGTTGGGCTGTCCAGATGGCTTATTGCTGTGCTGAGCCAACTCTGTCCATGTAGTTGGATGAATATGGAGACTAGCTCCAAAAGCAGTTTAGGGGTTTGTCCTAAAATAACGTGCAGAATGTAGTTAGCCTATGGATAAAAGGCACTCCTGAGTCTTTCTTTGCAATTCCAAGTACTTGACCATGTTCAGTCATCTTCTACAATGACAGTAGAAAAATCATGTCAGACAATTTTGTCTCCATCTCAGCAGCAGCTCGAACTTATGTCCTGTTGGGATCTTCTTCTGGAGTTGTTTTTCATATCATATATCTAGTTTTCCTCAGTGACCTGGCATATAAAATTTGGGAATAAATTTGGCTAGATGAAGGAAACGTGGATAGTGGCAAGGAGCCAGGACCTACATAAGATATTGCAGGTACGGAGTTTTGAATAATTGATATCTGAATGGCCTAGACTGCACTGGTTTTGTTTTAAGTTCATATCCCCTAGCAAACATATTCCTTGTGCATGAAAGAGGGGTGTTCTCTGAAGATGATTTGTGCCTAGTGCTGCCATTGTCTCAAGTCAGTCATAGCTCACAGGCCTGCCGAACAGGTACCATCCCATTAACCATTGTAGTGCATGCTAAATACAAATTATAT